TCTCTGTGAGTCTGCATTCGTCTACTATTAGCGTGTTTCTTGTCAGTGGCTTAGCAAGCAGCTTGTATTAGCAAGCAGCTAATACCTAGTCATATTCAGGTATCTACACGGCTTCCATTAAGAAAAACAAAATACGTTTAATGATGTAGTAATGATTACAGAGCTGCAATAACTGCCTTTTATATTGTCTAGAGCAGCAGTCGCCAACCTTTCGGACCTCATGGACCACTAAATTCATAATTATAAATCCAGCGGACAACTAATATGAATTTTTTTTTATATATATATATATATATATATATAACCATTGGGCCTAGTCTTGTCATGAATACTGTCCTACTGCTGACTGATTTTACACTACTGTATCATCTACAGCAGCGGTTGCCAACCTTTCCGACCTCATGGACCACTAAATCCATCACTTTAAATCCCGCGGACCACTAATATGAATTTTTAAAAGATATATATATATATATTCTCATATTTTTTGTTTCCTCATTCCTATAAATACACTGACCACCCCATCAGTACTTCGTTGGGCCACGAGGTGACTCCACGAGATGACTTCGTTCGGCCCTCTCGTGACTCCACGAGATGTTGAAAGGTGATTCGAGGAATCTGACACTGCACTGTTGCCCTTCTGTTGTCTTTTACCTGTCTTGCCATTCTCCGTTCTCCCTAACATTGACTAGTTACTGACGGCAACAATTCGCACTTTCAGACCCAAATTTTTGGCTGACAGTTCAGTCTTTAAACACTTTAACAACAGCTGCTCGTGAACATTTAACGCTGTTTTGCTGATACTCGCTCCATGGCTCCGAGCGCCAACAATCATCCCACGTTCAAAGGCTGTTAAATTGCGTCGTTTACCCATATCTTCAGAAAAAAATCACTTCTACTGTCGTGGTAAACAACCTGGTTCCCTATTTATAATGGTCTGGCCCTCTAGCAACTTCAGGGCGAATTTATAGCTAATTTGCCTACAGCGGTCAGGTGGTCATAATAATCTGGCCTCTCAGTGTATGTATATACCGTGTTTCCCCGAAAATAAGACACTGTCTTATATGTCTTCTGGCTCAAAAAAACACACTAGGTCTTATGTTCGGGGTAGGTCTTATTTAATTTTTTTTTAATGTACAACCACTTATTCATGTAGAAAAGTCTACATGTATTCATGTACAAAAATATGGTGATCAGGGCAATCAGGGGTGCCATACCTTTCCCAGAGCAATTTGCTAACCAATCGCTGGCCAGGATGAGCGAAGTGCACTTTCACTATCGATTTCTCACAAGCGGCGTGCATTTGGTATCACTCCGCCTGTGACAGGAGCCGGCGCTATAGAGGAGGCATCTTCTTATGCGACTCTGCTCCCTCCGATGCCACCTCGCTTCCTCTAGGGCTGGCTTCGTTGGCACCACTGATTCTCTCCTGCGGCTCTTCCATTTCCCCCGTATGCCACCACCGGCCCCGGGATGGTCACAACTAGGTCTTATTTTCAGAGTAGGTCTTATATTTTAGCAGTTCCCAAAAATAGTACTAGGTCTTATTTTCAGGGTAGGTCTTATATTTTAGCAATTCCCAAAAATAGTACTAGGTCTTATTTTCAGGGTAGGTCTTATTTTCGGGGAAACAGGGTA